AAAAACCGCCTCAGGGCACACTCAAACTGCGGTACCAAAACCGCATATTCCCCAAAATCCCCCAAAAATGGGGTCGAGGGATAGTCACACTGGGTGCACAATTTCGCAAATCACTTATTCCCGAACCCTTTGTCAGCGGCCTGAGAGGCCGCGGGGGCTGGGAATTTGCGGTAACCTAGGGAGGTTACCGCAAATTCCTTATTCTTTTTTTTTTTTTTTTTTCAGAAATGACTTGAGAATGGAATGGCAAGATATCGGCGCCATATCAATTGAAAATGAGGAATTTGGGCAAATGGGTGACCTCGTAGGCCGGTCAGACGCGAGAAGAGAGTCCCTGAACAACGAAGGAAAAAAAAAAAAAGAAAAGCAGAGGGAAAAAGGGTCGGCGCTGTGTGACTGGCGACCTCCGCAATTTCGCACTGGCCGACCTACCGCAACCGTGGAATGGGTGGTTTGGGGACACAGTRTGACTGGCGCCGCCACTATATCCCCAAATCAGGCATCCGTATTTTTTAAGAATATGCGGTTTTGGTACCGCAGTGTGAGCGTGCCCTCAGGCTTGAAATAAACCTCACAAACCAACAAAACCACCTAAAATAACCTTACCACAGGGCCTGAAACCCGCAACAAACCGGAAAAAGAAAGAAAAGCTAATAAACTCCTCATGGCCTGAAAAATGATAAAAAATCACACAGAACTTATAAAGGTTGTCCAACCCACTGGGGCCGCAAAATCTTCACAAACCAGGAGCCAAGCACTCCTTGACAAATGGCCACCACTTCTGCTACAGAACGGGTAACGTATTATCTTCTTACAGATAGATTACTTACTAGTAACTGCTAGATAAAAAACACTCGTAATTTCCCAACACTGGCAGAGGTATCTTATACACATCTAGATGTGTATAAGAGACAGACCTACCGCAACCGTGGAATGGGTGGTTTGGGGACACAGTGTGACTGGCGCCGCCACTATATCCCCAAATCAGGCATCCGTATTTTTTAAGAATATGCGGTTTTGGTACCGCAGTGTGAGCGTGCCCTCAGGCTTGAAATAAACCTCACAAACCAACAAAACCACCTAAAATAACCTTACCACAGGGCCTGAAACCCGCAACAAACCGGAAAAAGAAAGAAAAGCTAATAAACTCCTCATGGCCTGAAAAATGATAAAAAATCACACAGAACTTATAAAGGTTGTCCAACCCACTGGGGCCGCAAAATCTTCACAAACCAGGAGCCAAGCACTCCTTGACAAATGGCCACCACTTCTGCTACAGAACGGGTAACGTATTATCTTCTTACAGATAGATTACTTRCTAGTAACTGCTAGATAAAAAACACTCGTAATTTCCCAACACTGGCAGAGGTACTAGTGGTTCCACCAGCCAAGTGTAAAGGGCCTTGCCACACAAATGTCGAAACGAGAGTTTTCGACATTTTTTCGTCGCCACGCAGACTGTAGAAGAAATAATGTCGCCACACAGACTGTCGAAGAAACAATGTCGCCACACAGACTGTCGAAGAAATAATGTCGAAAACGCTTCGACAATCGTCAGAGAAGTGGTTTCGACATGGGTGTCGAACGGCCCAACGGGTTCGAGTTTCAACATCTCGGAAACGAGGTTGTGAAGGATGTGCGGATTTCAACATCTATCAGGGTCCCGGGCACTGGTGCTGCCTCAACATCCCGTGTCTTCTTCTTCTTCTTTTTTTTTATGTGTTTTTTTTTGTACAATCAATTCATGACTCCGAGGTGGACCCCACAGGGGAAAATCTCGGAAGAACTCTTCCGCCGGGTGTTCTCTCGGACCCCACAGCCTTTGGAAAAGTGTCTGGAAGTCCTTTTTTTTGTATTTCCCAGACCCCACCGCCTGGAAAAGTGGCGCCTGGAAAAGAGAAGAGCGAGTTTCCAAGTCCTTTTCCAGGCGGAAAACGGCCGATCCACGTCAGCCTCGCCAAAATTTTGTGGCAAACGCAAGGGGTAGGGGGGGGGCATCCCCCTACGTCCTCCAGACTTGGAAGATGGCGCAGGTCCATTTTGTGTCCGCACGGTGCTACCCAGCCGAAGGCCCCGTATCGCCATACCTCAGCGGCCGGCGCTGTAGCTAGGGTCTGTGTTCCTCCTCTGCCCGTTTGGCCGAATCCACATCGGATTCTGTGGTTGTCGGCAAATGTGAGTGGCCAGACAGGGCGAGGAACGGTGGCCGTTCCACGTCATCCACTGGTAATCAGCAGACAGCGGCAGCCTACCGCCATCCCTTCAGGCGCGCCGTCATCTCCTGCGGTGGAAGACCGGCTTCGGCAGTTCACCTGTACGTGCAGCGGAGCAGGTGCACAGCCGCATGTGATCATCGTTTGCTGTGGGGGCCACGTACAACATTTCCTGTTGTGTGCAGCGCTCGCTTTTTTTATCGCGATAGTTGTGTGCGTATTTTTTTTTGTGATCGTTGTCGCTCTTCTCTGCGCTGCCGCCGTCCTCATCACGTACGTTCTCGCAAGGCGGAGGCTTTGAGAGGGACCTGCACATCCTGTGCACCGTCAACGGACTTCTCGCCATGGAAGGCCGCAGATTCACAGCCGAGCTCATGGGCGGTTATGAGGGGGCGATGAGCATAGAGGATGCGAGACTGGAGGACACGAGAGGTGTGGTGGGTGGTGGCGGTCCCGGTTTCCCTGGATGGAGTCAAGATTGTGCCAGGAACTCGCCGATGGAGAGAGGAGTCGGCCAACGGGTAGAAGGGCATCCGTGGACGTTTGGTGGGATGGACAGGCCTGGTACTGGCGGGGGGCAGCAAGGGTTTTATGGCGTGGATTCGACCCCGCCAGGTGGCAATCTGCAAGGAGGGGTGCCACGTGGCGGTGTAGGGGACGGGTACAGCGAAGAGGCTGTCCATCACACTTCAAAGGTAGATGCCAGCCTCCCACAGTTCAACGTCAATGCGCAGGGGTGCGGTGCATGGGGAGGAGGACAGCCGCAGCGCCGATCGCTCGGAGTGCAGCACACGCCGTACATTGCACACCAACCTCGGCTGTCGATGGCAGATCAGCAGCATGGCCATCCTGCGGACAATTTCGACCGCAAAATGACGCACCTTTGTCGTGGTCAGCAACCGCCATCCACACCTGGCAGTGCGCCGACAGGAGGAAGAGTTGACGACTTGTCTCCTGCACGGCGCATGGCGTCCGCATCGGGGCATTCCGGGACGTGGGATGGAATGCCGTCACCGATGGGATCATCCATCGGAGGTAGGTCACGACAGATGATCGGGGATGTTGGGGGGTCTGATCCTATGCGACATACGGTGCATGGCGAACAGCACCTCCCATCACCGCCTGTCCACCGGCCTGTCACGAGAGACAAGGGGGGTTCTTCTCGCACTTTCCCTGACAACAAAGGACCGGCATCAGGTGGTGCTTCCGTTGATGGGCCGACTGTCTTGAGCGAGGAGACGAACACACTGCATGGCAGGCAACGGGCCCGCAAAGCGCCTCGTCCGGAAACAGCGAAAAAACACACACCTTGGTCCTTGGAGGAATGCATGCGCCTTGTGAAGATCTGCGGGGAGGACGATGCTTTGATGGCAGACGCAAACGGTCCTCACAGGCACATGACACGGGGGAAAACTTGAAGGTACGAGTGAATCTTTTTCCTTTTCTTTTTGAAAATTTTCCTTTTTTTTCCTTTTTTCCTTTGTCCCCCTTTTTTCCCCTTTTTTCCTTTGTCCCCCTTTTTCCCCCTTTTTTCCCCTTTTTCCCTTTTCTTTTCCTTTTTTTTCCCTTTTTTTTTTCCTTTTTTTCCTTTTTTTCCTTTTTTTCCTTTTTTTCCTTTTTTTCCTTTTTACCCCAGATTCAAGCACTTAGTCCAATCCTCTTTGCTAGTGGGACCTTGGGCCTGGCTCCACTATTCTCACCACATGCACAAACGACAAAATATATGGCGGTGCATCTGTCCGTGTTCTAACGTAAGATTCATGATCATTTTGCAGCAAATTTGGTGAGCAATGCAGCGAGGCCCGCATGCATGATGCGGGATACAACCATCCACCTGAGGACTGCAGGAAGAAGTGGACAAAGATGAAGGACACTGTGAACCTCATCTCCGACAAGTGCGACCGATCTGGGAAGGCTGGGTACCACAACATGACTGCAGATGAAAGGAGGGAGAAGTGGGTTCCGCTTACCTTCGAACGCTCTCTGTGGGACGCCATGGAATGGTGGACGGTGAAGGCTTCATTCAAATGCGACCACACCCTTGCATCAGAGGAGATGGATGTACCCGAGTCGGGGGGGTGAATGAAGGGGCGGGCGGGCCCGATCGTGCCGACGAGGCGGCATGTGAGGGTGGCGGCAGTGATGGTTCGGATAACAGTGCGAAGACACGGCGAACATCGGCGCCATGCCCTCTGTTCATTTTTTTATTTTTTGTTTTTTTTTGTTTGTTGTCAGTGTTTTTTTTTTTTGTGGTACGCCCGGAGCTTGTGTGGTTGACATGACCTTTTTATAGGATCGGAGCTTGAGCAGTGGCAGGACCTCGCCACATGTATGTGCAAACGCCTCCCGGTGTGTGTGTGCATCAGAGCTTTTTTTTATATCACCGCCTTGCCCGCTCTGATATAAAAAAAAGCTCGCATGCACACACACACACACCGGGCGACGTTTTGGCGAACTTTTCTGCGCGCCGAGGGAGCGGGGTCGGAGAGGCTCGTATTGCTGCCGTTCCGTTCGGACGCCACTACGCATACACGCACTCAGTGTTCTTTGCGGCGCCCGAGTCCACACGGGAGAGAGAGAGAGAGAGAGAGAGAGAGAGAGAGAGAGAGAGAGAGAGAGAGAGAGAGAGAGAGAGAGAGAGGGACAGATCAGGGGGAGAGATGGCTGCGATCCTAGCGTGGAGGGAGATCATACGTGCCGGTGCCGTGAACTGCTTCGAGCAAGTGCATGTTCGCAGCGTGTGGTTGGGCAGGAACCTCGACGCTTTCGGGGAAGAGATTACGAGGAGGACCACGCGAGTGTACTCCGTGGATGTCAACGGCCTGCCCTCTGTAATTCTCGATGTCGCTCTTGGTTTCGCGGGGGACTTGCTGAGCCATGTCCTCATCTGGGTCACGAAGCTCGCGGACGACATACCGGATGACTGGCGTATGCTGGAGCACGACATCGTCGGGGACATCGTCCTCAAGAGCGTGGAGTACCTGGCGCTGGAGCACGCGGAGGGACTGGACATGGGGGCATTCTACCGCACCTTTCTCGATCCGCCACTCGTCGGGCGGGGGTATCTCCACGGCGAAATCAAGGTGTAGTCGGGAATCGGGGTGTTGGTGTGTTGATGGTGCTGTTCTTGTGTAGATTAGATGTAGTCAGTATGGGTATTCGGGGGTGACCGTTGATGGGATTCGCAGTGACGCCAACGGAACTACGCGATGCGGTTTTTTAATGCTGGTGCAAGTTTTTTGTTCTCACGGTATTTTTAGTTTTTTTTTTCCCCCTTTTTTTTGTCGCGCTTGATTGGTGTTGTTTAACAGCCATTTATGGGACCATTGGGACGTGCACACGGGCCTCATGGGTTTTACCTTATAGAGTCGTTCCTTCGTGGTTCCCACATGGTGACTGCTCGCGGTGGAGGGAGAGAGAAGCAAAAACTTTAAGACGATTGTAATTGGATTGTGTTGTTGTTGTCTGCTTTGCCGTAATCTGCACACTGGCGACTTTTTGATATTTGGGTATTGTGATTGGTCGCAGTGGAGGGTGGTGACATGAACAGTACTGCTTATGACATTCAAGTATTGAACTATGGTTTTTCGAAATCAGAGAACTTGCTTTGTTTGTCGTCCCTTTCTGCTCTGTTAATGAATGCAAGATGCCATTACAAACTTTTTTTGCATGCGGTTACCGGGCCAGCGTCGGTACTGCTGCAATTGTGTCTCTCTCCCTCTCCCATTAAACTTGTTGTGTTTGTCATTCTGAAACTATGCTTTGATTGGGATTTTCACTCCCTCCCTCTCCCATGCCTGCTGTATCGATATATACAAACTTTCATTGGAATCGATCATCACACACACACACACACACACACACACACACACACACATGTGTGTGTGTGTGTGTGTGTGTGTGTGTGTGTGTGTGTGTGTGTGTTTTCCTTGAACAGTACGCTACTGCGCAATACTGCGCAGCGAACCAACCCTTACCATAATGATGCGCAACCAAAAACCCGCCCAATATAGTAACGATACTATGATGAAGGTTTTTTGGAGTTTCGAAACATAATTTCCCAGAGGCTGCATCAACTCCACTCGAATCATTCGACACCTTTCTTCATCAAAAAATATTTGTCGCACAGGAAAAAGCCATGAGCTGTTTTTTAGGGGGGCAGGAGGCTGGGTCTTGCGTACAGAAGGCTATCAACAAGGATTGGCCAATTTTTTAATACAGACTTACGTTTATTATATAGGAATATTGCATGGATCCTTCGTTTCTAACAAACTAATTTATGCATTTGAAAGTTTCGTAATATCAACCCAACACATCATAGAACGAGAAACCAATCGAGGCGAAACATCCCTAGATTTCATGTATTGAAAATATCAGCCATTCATCATCGGTGCTACAGAGGACTACGCATCAGAGTTCACAAAAATATATTACCAGATTGAGAACATATGCACCTTTACGCAATTCAGGATTTACAATATACAAAGCAAACCATCTTAAGAGTGAATACAAGACGCATAAATACACACGATCCATGAGATGAAAACTGCAATCGAAATAGGAATGTACTCAAGACAATATGCAGTGCCACAAATACAAGTCCGCAGTCCAACTCGTCCGATCACTCTCCAGACACTTCCAGCAAAACTTTATCCAGGAAACCTATCAATCCTTCCGCATAACATCAATGCCCCTCATGCAACTATCTCTTCCCAATGTTGTTGGCCCTTATTATAATTACACTTGCATCCTCCAACTCCAATATCGTGCCACCACCAAGGCGCCATTCGCCCTTATGATAATTACACTTGCATTCTCCAACTCTAATATCCGTGTCACCACCAAGGCTGTTATCTCCCAAATTCCTCTCGTCTCGACCCGCCAACACAGCATAAAAGAGTGACCCCGCCTATATCCTCACTGTTACCCGCCCTTCCCTGAGGGAGTATAACCTGGATATCTAACGCCCCAACCCATCTCCTTCCTCTCAGTAGATATACTTATCCCTTCCGCTCGTGGATCCCGCCTCTCGGTCCATATAGACTCGTGCCCTCCTTACCGCGCTATTCGCAACTACCATGCAGATATCACTCCTTGCTACCCATCAATCCAGTAGAAAAGAGTAAGCCGGTTCCTATCATTAGCAACCCTCGCTGTTGAACGCCCCCCAGTCCGAAGGAGTATCACACGGATAACCGATGACCCCATTCATCAATACTCTGAGAAAACACCCATCTGTACAGATTGCAGAAGACCCAACGCCATTTACAAGACGAAGTCGTGTGCGATCACAGACTCCCGGCTTAACAGGCAGGAATACATACGCGTCATACGCAGGTTATTTTTCTCTCTTCAGGCCCGACACATTCGTCCACCACTACCTTTCTCCACAACTCCTTTTAGGCAGCCACCTGCTCTACTTATTGTTGACGGCATTCATCAAACAGCCTCGCGGACCCATCGCCATATGCTCCGTTTAGATTTACCCTGGAAAACTCCCTACCTTAATCGCACCCTCGCAAACACCACACATACTTGATACGCCCGTCGTTCCGTCAGGTCCAACATAGCTAATCACCCATTGGTCGAAAGAATATCACCAAGAAAGACGACGAAAAAATTCTCCGACAGCTGCAGATAACACCGAAACCTATCCTCGGCAAGGATACTGCCATTACGAGAATCAAAGAGGAAGTCCAATCTTTTGCAGTACATATCCCCTCTCCCACATCCCATTCCTTATGGCAGAATTTATGCTGCACAATCTTTGATGACGAATTGCTGCAGGGGTAGTTCAAAATACAGCCCTGATGCTTTACGACAGAAAACTCCATAACCATGAAGAATGCAAGTAACGCAAGGAGGATGGCAAAAATGGCAACAATGGCTATTGAAGTGTGCGCAGCCTCCATTCGCAGTGTACGAAGCACCCGAGTTGATACTTAACAGCGGTTCATCAATTCCTAATCAATCACTCACAAACAAATGACACGCCATGACACAAGGAGGGGGAAGAGAGAGAAAAATAGATATGACAAAAACAGGTTAGGCAACCATATATCCTACGTTAGACCCTCAACAAAGCATACATAGATTTCCCATTTCGACTGAACGAACCCATAGTGTCGACGAAACCGTAGGGTATTTAGTAGGAGCTCCCAAAAGCTTTTTCGCCAATCCCTACCACGATTGGTTCATTAGGGGAAAAAAAGTACCCTAAGTTCTCGTGTCGAAAGGGACATGGCCTTCTTTCGAGCCAAGGACAGCAGGGGATATGGGGGCGATGGAGGAAGGGGGTTAGAGACATTTTACCACTCTCGAAGAAGCTGCTGTCCCATCCATGCCTTTCCTGCGATTTAGTACGATGACGTACTGCCACAGAGCGGGCACGAGAAGGAAAGCCGTCAGAGATTATCCCAATCATAGGCAGGATGACCAATGAGCAGAGCGGGAGGAAGACAAGAAGCTCCGAGACTGGTGCGACGGGAAGACGCAAGGCAAGAGGGGATAGATGAAGCATGATACACCAAGCGGATATCATCCAGGCCAGCGTCGTAGCCTCGTTGCCGCAATTGGCGAGCAATTCCGTTGGGTGGCCCTTGGTTCAGCGCTTTACCGAATACCAAGGCACCACACCTCCGAGTGCTTGAAGTGAGAGGACTAATCAATCACAACTGGTAGAATAAATACTTCCGCCGGCTCCGCATTTTTCCAAAAAATGCGCGCCTACCGTAATGATTAAGACTAGCGTCTCCCCTTTACAATTATTACACCGGGTAGGGGCGGGTAGAAACTTCAGAATCCTTTATCCGGGTTGAGGGTACATCTTTTTAAGGGGTCATTTACCAACCGAAGGATAGGATCGGCCGGCCCAATGGAAAAGTATGCCGAATCCCGTACCATTTTCTAGTTTAGTCCTTACCTTTTCTTTGATTATTATTTTTGTTTTTATTATTATTTTCTTTTATTTGTACTTATATTTTTATTTTTAACGAAAGAAAGGAGGCTTTCATAGGATTCATCTGCAAGGACTCCCTTTTTTACACAGCCGCATTGGTATGATTCCAATATGTAACTGCCTCCGTCCTTGTTCAAGTTCCTATTTTAAATGGTCAGTTAAGAATATATATATTTTCTAATGGGGGTGTAATTATACATGTATATTTTTCTAAAGTTTGTATATGTGTGTGTGTGTGTGTGTGTGTGTGTGTGTGTGTGCCCTACCCCTATCCCGCTGGCAGGTTGCTGTTAAGGCAGGTGACAGGTACCTGCCTTAACGGCGAGTCACCTGGCAGCCACCATTTACAGTCCTGTCCGGTCGGGACCGAAACGATTTTTAAGTACACACCATACAGAACACAAAGCACACCCCACACGGGTTAGGAAAGAGGGTACCTTAAACTTGAAGTACGTTGCCCGAACGTTCACTCTGGGTTTGAAGAACAGATGCGGAGAGTCAAGTACCAAATACACACATCGTACGCATTTTTGCCTAAGGAATTCATTCGTGACCATTTCATCAACCAGGTTTCCTAATTCACGTGCTGCATCGTCAGGCTTGGAACAAAGTACCAGGACTGTAGCCGCCTGGGAGATAATAATGTTCAACGACTGCTGGATGTGTCTATTAGAATAATACTTGACATATTTTGCGATAGAGAAATTCATCAGTCTCCTCTTGTCAAATTTCGTTGTTATAAACTCCCCTGTCTGCTCCGAGATAATCGAAATTTCCACATTGAGGAATTGGGCCTTCCGTCCGTAAATTTCCCCTGATTCACTTTTCGAAAATACCTCCGTTTGGTATTTGATATGAATTAATTCCATTGGGTACAACTGAAAGATATTGTTTGACACCCTAGGTTGCTCGCTGTCCAGAAATTTCATAATACAAGTGGACCCGCCGCAGCTACGCTGCAGCAGCTGAGGGTGAGCGACGGTGGAGGCGGGGGGGAGGGTGGTCCGTGCTGTCATCCGCTCGTCACCCTCTCTCTTTCTGTCTCTCCTTTATTCCGCTCGACCTCCTTTCTCTCTGCCTCTCGGCGATTCTGTCTGCCCTCTCTCTCTCTCTCTCTCTCTCTCTCT